TATATACATATATATATATACATAAAAATTCAATTTTCGAGTTTTTCTTTCTCTAGGATAGGTTAAATTAGATGCTATTTGTGTTGAACTTACGTCAACTGTTAATTCTATTATACAATGAGTCAGTACTGTCAGTCTGTTTACGGTAGTTCTAATCAGTCCTATGTCTTATCGGTGAATCGATGAAGTTGGTCAAATTGTACGATCGAATTTGACTTTATTCCTTCACATTAGTCGAGCTACACAATTAATATACTTGTAGATGCGAAAAATCATAGTCATCACTGCGGTTGATTGACTAAGATTTCCAACTACCAACTTATTGGTAGAATCAGTTTGAAACAAAACTATAATATCTTATGGTAGATAATTTTAAACCAATAATATTATAGTTTTTAATTTTCAGAGAATTTCGATTCATATATCAAATTTCCAGAACGCTTGCGATCTTGTCTTTTATTTCTCTTCTGTTCAACCTTATTACGAGAAGAATTCTAATTTTCTAAGGCGATGAAGTTTATATGTAGTCAATAAAAATATAATTCAGCAAACTTTGTAATAATAGCAATGAATTAATATTAAAATAACGCAATACTAATAATTTTTTGAATATACAAAGAGTAATGTATATTTGTGTCGTCCGCAAGTTCGGCAAAAAAATTGTATGCATATGTTTAAAATTGTAGAGTAAGTAACTATAAATTGTTATATAACGTATATGCATATAATAATTAATGCGCGCTTATTAGATATATAGATTTTCTTTCTCTTGTACGTATATTTCTGTTTGTAAGGTAAATTTGCGGATAAAACGATCATCTTTAAAATACAAAAAGCATACTGTATGTAATTTCTATTATCTTTAATAAATAATGCTTCCATATGGCGGAAAAGATAAAAATATAGCACTACTTATTAAAGATAAGAAAAATTAAAGTGTTTTTTTTTTAAATGACCGCATTTTATCTTATATCAGAAAAAAATAATAAAAAGAAAAATTGAAAAATAATTAAGAGAATAAATTTGATATTTTTTAAATAAAAAAATTAAATTTGTGAAAATGAGAAAAAATTGCCTATATATATTAATAAAAAGTAAAATATTATATAAGTTATTTTCCATTTTTCAATTATTTTTCTTATTTTTTTCTTTATATAGATATAATAAATATAAGAGA